GATGTGTGTCTCTTCACTCTGCTGACCCACGACTGCACACCATCACACAGCTCCAACCTATTCATCAAATTTGCAAATGACACAGCTGCGGTAGGTCACATCAGCAACAACGATGAGACCTACTACAGGAGTGAAGAACATCTGAACATCTGGCCAAGGGGTGCAGCAATAATAACATGTCCCCGAATGTGGAGCAGACTAAGGAAATCATCATAGACTTCAGGAGAACTCACACCCTGCACACCCCATTAACCATCAATGGTGCTGCTGTGGAGAGGGTAAGCGGGACCAAGTTCCTGGGTGTGCGCATCTCAGAAGATCTCTCCTGGTCAAAAAACACAGCATCACTGGTCAGTAAAGCCCAACAACGACTCTACTTTGGCCGCAAACTGAGGAGAGCAAGAGCCTCAAGACCCATTATGAGCACCTTCCACAGAAGCACCGTGGAGAGTATCCTCACTGGCTGCATCACTGTGTGGTATGGCTCCTGCACTAGGTCCTGCCGGAAAAAGTTACAACGAGTAGTTAGAACAGTGGATAGGATCGTGGGTACCTGTCTTCCCTCCCTCCAGGACATCTACTGCACCCGCCTCACCTGAAAAGCTCTCTGCGTTACAGGTGACTCCAGTCATCCGTCCAACAGCTTTTTCAGTTTGTTGCCATCAGGAAGCAGACTGAAAAGCCTCCAGGCTAGAAAGAGCAGACTGAGAGCGTCACCGCCTCTCTCTAGTTCGTTCACTCTCTCTCTCTCTCTCACCAGGGTGGAACTCATTATGTGTTCATGCTCTTGGCCCACGCCCTCGGAGGAGGAAACACCTGTGTCTCATCAGTGTGGATGGCATTTAAGCCAGGAAGCAACGGCTGTTCTTTGCTGGATCGTTGTGAGAATCGCGTCAGTGAAAGTCGAGCGTCTAGCAAGTGTTTTTCCATGTAGGTGTGTGTTTGGAATCTAACGAGCGTTTCTTTGTGTGCAGACCCTCTGGACTGTTTTCCCTGGTGTTCCCTGAGTGACGAGTGTTCGAGTGGATTCGTGTTTGGATTGTTTGGAGAGAGACGAGAGTGTTCACCTGGATTTCCCCTGGAGCCCTGCCCCTCTCACCTTTTGTATATAGCACTGCCCCGGACCGTTTGTGTTTACACTCATTGGACATTGTTCATTAATAAATTCTCTTGTGTGCATCAATCCCCAGAGT